GAAGGGGGGGGGGGGCGGCTGCCCCCCCCCCCCCGCCCCACCAAGATTTCCGCCACTGGGGAGAGCATTGGCGCACAATGGGTTAGCAGCAATCATGATGACAGATGATTTGTCTGGTATAGTTTGTCTGATCATTTGTCTATAAACATTGCAGTCAGTGGCTAAGCAAACAGAATTGTGACCTTTTGTTTACTGAATTCCATAAAATGCTATTTTCTATATTTAGAGCAATAAACGCATTTCTGAACACGGGAAAAGGTGGTACTGTGTATTTAGGAATTGTTGACGAGGGCGTGGTCAAAGGAATAAGGTTGTCACAGTATCAGGTATATTGTATGAGGCTGTTCGTATGAGCCAGGAATGAATCGTGGCATGAAATTGTTTCCTAGTTACCGTAAACGCTCGTTTGAATGAACTTTATAATGTAACTGGAATCCAACTAAGCTAATTCATCTTTAAAATATTATTCTGGATGTTTATCAAAGCCGTGATAAGAGCTTTATTAATTTAACAGGGCCAGCCCCTTTACAGCAGTTGCAGCAAAAGGAAAATTAAACTAGAGGTCTCTGTTGCTCTTGAGTGACCCCATTACCTCTGTGGCAAGCAGTATCATGTCTATGTAACATCTATGTCTCTTCATAGAAAGACCATGTCTTGGTTGCAATGAATGATCTCATGAGCAGATATGAGCCCAAAGTCAACTCAGAAAGATACAATGTGAGCATGTTGATTAAAACAATTGTTGTCTCTTGTCTCCTTTATCATACGAGTCACGTTTTAGGGGGAGTTACTATTTTTAGACTTTTAGCTAGGGTTAGAGTTCGGATTAGGGAAAGGATTATGGTTATATGATTAAGATTAGAGCATGATTAGAGTAAGGGTTAGTTTAAAATAAAAAAATACAAAAGTGTAAAAATAGTAACTCCCCCTTTAGTAAAACGCGACAGGTATATCCTTTTATACACTTGGTAAACAATTTATTATGTGCTAGGTTGAGTTTGTGCCAGTTTTATCGAAAAGTGAAGACACATTGAAACAAGAATATCCTGCAATCAGGTTTGATTGATTGGTTGCTAATTAATAATAAGTGATAAATAGTAATTATGATCGATTAGGCTCAATCGTTACGCAAACCTATTTTGCAATCAGAAATCTACTTTCTATTAAATTATTGCAGTCAAATACTGTCTAACTTATGTTTTACAAATTTACAGTGAAGATCATGGTAGATTGAGGCGTCACTTGCTGCGGACGCCTGAATATTGTTGGTGCGACAAAGATGCTATTGCCCAGTTTGCATTGGTACGAAATAATGTCTATATAACAGTTTATATAACAGTGGCTAATGCATATTCCTTTCACCACTGTAGCCAGGGCTCAATTCCTCCAATATATCCAATTATAATTTCCTCTCCATCACATTCAAGAATAGTGCTTCCAGTTTGACCATACCAAACATGACAGATCTTCTCTGGGAACTCCTGTTTCCTCCTAGTCACACAAGAATGGGTGACCCTAATGTTTACCCTAGAAAGAACAGTTTAGAACTGATAGAGCTATCCAGTATAAATAAAGCTAGTTTAGTTTAGGTTTCCTCCTGTAGTAAAACTGGATCAATAGGAGATGATTCTTACTGGACCTCTAGGAAGAGCAGTTTAGAACTGATAGAGCTATCCAGTATAATTAAAGTTAGTTTAGTTTAGGTTTCCTCCTATACACAGGTGGGAAAAATAGGCAAGCACACAGAAATGTTAAACAGCTGTAGGAAATAAGTTTGAATGAAGATTTGCTATTGAAAATTTGAAGGAAAACCTTAACACCCATGTCCCAGACATATTTCCTTGAATTTAAAACCCTGGTCAGCTAGAACAACATATGTTTATGCACATGCAGATTTAGCTAGCTTTTAACTTAATTTACTTTACATAAATTTAACTTTACTTTACATTTAGCTTTTAACTTTATCTTTAGCTATTAAACTTTATCTACTCTAGGGCATTGAACAAGTGGACTACGTGATAGAAATAACCATTCACCCATACAAAGATAAACTGACGGAAATCTGGGGTGACAAGTATAGACTTGATCTACACCCAGTTCACCAGGACGAGGAAGGGAATTGCTATTTTAGAAGACAAGCAAGTCTTGTACAAGTATTTGTCTCGGTTACTTTTAACTGTTTATTTTCTGCTGATGGGGTTTCAGCATCCATTAAAAGACAGATGTGGTCAACTTACTTTGCGTTCTGTTTAGTACAAGCACTCGGACATTTATCAGCAAACAAAGGAAGAAGTGAAACAATACTACGAAGAAATTATAAACAAGTAAGAGAACATGTTTTTAGCCTAACCAAATCCTCTGACCTCTGCTAAGCCATTGAGCAGCAGCACTTGCTCCTTGGGGAGTAAAATTGTCTGTCATTAGACAGAGTAAAATAATATGGTGTTAGACAGATTAAAATAATAAAGTACATTGGGCACAATGCAACTTGATGTGTTGACTAGACATTGAGTGTCCGCACTTTCCTTGACAAGTAAAAGCATCTGGCATTTAATAGACAGAGTACAGTAATATAATAAAGTTGGATGCAACATTGTAACTTTTAAAATTGATTAAACCATTTAAATGGCAAGGACTTATTTTATATAACTTTTGTGTATTATGCATAGAATACTTTAATTTGTTCCTAGCCATAATTTTACTTTGCTTCTTTTTTTACCTAGATTGAAAGAAGAGATCCGCGAAGCTAAAGGTCTACGTCGAAAGCCGCCATCAAAAAATAAACTTTCAATACACTCTTTCGATCTTGGCTGTAAGTGCTTTCAAGTTGAAATGCCCCCTGCATATCATCTTTTCTCAGTTTATATATCTACAAGTTTTACAGAAGAGCAATACTGTAGGTAGGATTTGAAAGTCTTCCAGTAGATATTGAAATAGAGAATGAAAATCGACAAAATAGACATATAAAAAAGAGCCAGGCAAAACATCAAGAACTGTTTTAGTTTATCACTTCCAGGATTGCTTGTAAGAAAAGTAAGTTCTTTAAAAACACCAAATTTTCTAACATGCAGTGGTATTTTTTTAAGGAGCACGATTAATCAGCAAAGATGAAAGATGGCAGAAATGAGAGAACAAACAAAATTGAGTTGGAAAAGTTGTGTGTTCACTGTGTTGCAAAATGGAATTGAAATGTTCTGAAGTTATGAAGAGAGGAGAAAGCGAACTTGGAGTTTATGATGAAATTTACAACCTCAATCAAAAGATTTCGCTGAAGGTGATGGGGAAATAGCTGGTCAAACTGACAGAAAATAAAACAACCGAGGAAATGTCCTCGCATGTTAGAATACGTTTCAAATTGTGTTTTTATGAATGACTTTGAATGACTATATAACTTATATAATGCATTTGTGTGGAGAAGACTGAAGTATATTTTTATTACAGAGCAGAATAGTTTTCGTTTTCTATATAATTAGGGGAATATAAGCAAAGACTTTAAGATTATTGTTATGAACAGGAGAGAAAGCGAACTTGGAGTTTATAATGACATTTACAACCTCATATTAATCTGACACTGCAATCGAGCAACGAAAAATTCGTTGGCTCGAGCGGGATTTGAACTCGCATCTTCGGGTATCTAGACCGCCGCTCTACCTATTGAGCTATCGAGTCAACAAGGGTTGGTAGCGAGTCTTATCCAATTTAAGTGCACGAAATATTTTCGTGACGACTTAACGCTTGTCTTTGAGGACGCGCAGTGTTTCAATTCTATTTCAGAACCATCCTCAGAGATAGGAAAACTAGTTTCATATTAATCTGACACTGCAATCGAGCAACGAAAAATTCGTTGGCTCGAGCGGGATTTGAACTCGCATTTACAACCTCGATCAAAAGATTTCGCTGAAGGAGTTGAGAAAATAGCTGGTCAAACTGATAGAAAATAAAACAACAGAGTAGAAGTCCTCGCATGTTAGAATACGTTTCAAATTGTGTTTTTTGGAATGACTATATAACTTATGTACATTTGTATGGAGAAGTATAAGTTTGATTACAAAGCAGAATAATTTTTGTTTTCTATAATTACGGGAATATAAGCAGAGACTTTAAGATTATTGTTCGTACCAGTAGTCTTTTTTAACTTGACCGTGAAATAGTTCAAGATACAAATACTTGCGTTCTGGTCTTTTTTGTCTCGACACGATTCAGGCTTGCATACGTAAAAACGCACAAGTCGTTACAAATTTGTTCACAAGCTGTCGACAAGTTGTGTTCGCACTGCTTGTTCCCAGTCGTTGGAACAAGTTTGGGACAAGCAAAACATTCGCATCCGATCTTTATCTGATATACAAACTCTCGACTTATGTTTATGTTATCTGATATACAAACTCTCGACTTATAGTTATGTTTATTATGTTCCATAGTTCGTTGATAAAAGATATGACTTGGATCACCTAAGATAGTATCGAGTTCTCTCGATGTGGCTTCAATTCTTCTCTCTTCGAGAGTTGGCAGGTAACCATGCGGGAG